CTCTGACACCTCAGCCCACTGGACACCTCCAAACTTCCCCTCTGACTGTCCCCGGGTCAGAATCGGAGCCCAGCACTCTCAGCCTGAATCCCGAATGGGAAACAGGCCAGTTTCAGTTCTGCCCCTCCCTTACCGATGACCACTGGGTGCTGACCTGGCTCAGAGAGGGCCTGGACAAGGCCAGTTAGCAGAGCATGTTCTCAGCATGGACTCATCAGCAGCCTTTAATGCCACAGCTGAAGTCATTCAATAGCCAAGGTGAATAATCTCAGTCTTGACCAGAACTTTCTCTACCCCCAACCTAAATCTTTAAAAACAACAACAACAACAAGACCCTACCCGGACACGAATCAGAGTTAGCAGAAAGGCCCAAAGCAACCTCTTTTTTTAACAGGTTCCTTTTGACTATTCCTCATCGGTGAGTACAGCCTGCAGATGACTGTCTGCGTGACCTCCTGCTAGTGAAGAGGGATGCGTGGTCCTCTGTGTCCTGACCACGGGATTATCTGGTACTATCACAGAAATGGCCTTACAGAGCAGCCACTGAACCTGTTAGCCCACAAATTAAGCCTCACGCAAAATGAGAAGATGTGGCAGTCGCTCTGGGTTACCCAGAAGGATGTACTTAAGCAATATATAGTTCAGTTGCAATTGTCAAGAGTGTAATTCAGTTATGGTATGATCTGCAGGCCAAACCGCAGGGATTAATCAGGAGCAAGAGCAAAGGTTAACATCCTGCTGGAAGCTAACAACGGTCTTCTGTACGAGGAACAAATCATTCTGACAAGGGGGCTGGGGTCTTTAAAGTCACCTCTTTCCAACTCTCTGGCATAGAATTTTGGGGTGCCAATCAAGTATCATCATACCCCGGAAACACTCATTCAGCTTTTAAGAATTCAGCCTTAAGAGGAGTTTCATCTCCTAGTCATGTTTCTGCTTGCAAGGCCTTTCTTCTCCTCACACCTCCAGAGCCACTGGGAGCCTGAAGGGCCACCATGACACCTTTTATCCCCCCTTAAAGACTTAATTACAGAAATCTTGATATCACATGCCCTACATGTACTCTTTTTGGAAAGAGTTTCAGAAAGTAGAACTGAGCCTATCATAGTACAGAGTAATTAATAAAGGGAAACCCTCATTCTGTACTGTTACAACTATGAACCATCATTACTGAAGGAACGGTGTCCATTTTAGGAGGATTCTGTGTTGTTTTTGTGTAAATGATTGCTACCAGGGTGTGCAGGGAGCCTGTAAAAATTCCTTCCGTTTGAAATAAGTGGTAATTGTGTCTTCAGAAAGTGAGAGAATACAGCCCTTGGGTACTCCTTTGAGCACCTTAACATAATGCAGAAGCAACTGTGTTTTGGTGGTTCGGCATCACTGGACATCATTCAAGTTAACACGAGGGCAGAAATGAGAAAGGATGATGTAAATGTTCACCTAAAAATGTCATCTCCGTGGAACTGGTGGCATCGTGATGCGGTGATGCAGTTTTCAAACCTTTTCTTGGCTGCCACCCTTCTGGCAAAGGAACCCTTACTTGGAAGTCTGATGTGTAAGACAGACAAGAGCAAAGTCACTCTGGCTAGGGTATACGGCAAGAACAGAACTTGACCCCGCTCTCAGTTAACTCTTCTCTACAGATGGCCCCACAGAGCCCTTAGGGCTCTCTTACACATCATCATAACACCAGTGCAGGCAGGAAAGCAGCCCTGAAGGGACTCAGATGGCCCTAGACTCAAAATTTTGACATTTACCAGCACTGTGACCTTGGGTGGTAAAAATCATGTCAGTACTAATCTCAACCAAACAAATAGTAACTTATACCAACTGAGTACTTCCTATGTGCCTTATTTGCATTAATTTAATCCTCTCAATAATATTAGATAGGTACGAATACCATTATTTTATATATGAGAAAACTGAGCTCAGATAGGGATTAAACACTCTGCCTAAACATCCCACAGCCAGTCCTAAGTGACGGAGCTGGGATTCAAGCCCCAATAGTCCACACTAACAACCACAAAAACTCTTAAGCTCTTTGGTCCAGTTTGGCCCAAACACCTTGAATATGAGGAGGGTATTAATAATCTTGCAGAAGAGTGTCCTATACAAAGACATTCAATAATTATCATTCCTGGGCTCCTAGATGGTTCAGCTGGTTAAGCATCTGCCTTCAGCTCAGATCATGATCCCAGGGTTCTGGGATCCAGTCCTGTGCCGGGCCCCCTCAGCAGAGAGTCTGTTTCTCCCTCCACCCCTCCCCCAACTCGTGCTCTCTCTCTCTCTCTCTCTCTCAAATAAATAAATAAAGTCTTTTTAAAAAATTATCATTCTTGTCATCACAAATGGTGTGGAACGTATACCCTCCAGACACTCACTAATTACCTCAATGTTCAGTTATCTGCCAAACAGCTCCTGTCAAATGTCTGTGTGAAACAATTACTACTTGAAAGATGGTTCACAGGATATGCCAATCACCAAATCTTCAGACAAAACTAGTAACTGGTGAGCCCAGAAGAATGAGTGAAGGGCACCAGAGAAAATAATAAACGAAATTCAGTGCACAGCCAGAGAAGAAGACACTGTAGAAATGAACAGCTGGTGCCTAACCAATGAGGAGAGCCTGTTCACAAAGTTAGATACAATGTGTATGTGACAGTACTTATTGAACACCTAATATGTGCTTGCAGACCTACTGAGGTGCTAGAGATGGAGCAGCAAAGCCTCGGTCCTAGTGGAACTTACAATCTGGTGTGGGAGGCCAACGATACACAAAGAGACAAATGGCAATGTAATAGGTCAGGTGGTGATCAGTGCTGTAAAACAATATAAACAGGATATGAGGACAGAGTGATGGGGGGGAATGCTAATTAGGGAGGGTCAGGTTAGACCTCTCTGATGGGATTGGGTGGCAGAGATCAGACAGAACGTATCTGGAGGACAGCATTCTAGTGAAGGGGGCAGCAAGCACAAAGGTCTGGAGACAGCTGTTATGCAGGCTTAAGCAAGATAAGTCAGGAGGAAAGTGGTAGGAGGTGTGGTCATAAAGGCGGCCAAAGGCCAGGTTGGGTCTGAAAGTGCTGGCTCCATTGAGGACTTCAGATTTTATCCTGAGATGGCAAGCCACTGATGAGCTTTGGAGAGAGGAATACTGTGATTTGATGTACATTTCAAAGATCGCTCTGCCGCTCTGTGAAAGACAGCCTGTAGAGGGCCAGAACAGGGCAGAGACCACTCAGAAGACTGCATGAAGCTTGCAGCCCTGCATGAGTCTAGCAAGGCATGTACAAGCCTTACTCAATGAAAGACACAAAACTCAAATGGGTGAGATGAGGTCCAGAATAAATAAGAACTCTACCATGTCCCTAGAGAGGATGTAATGTAATAAAGATTTCTTTCAATCTCTTGTTACTTTATCAAAAGCTAACATTTTAGAGTGCTCGTATGTGCCAGGCACTGTTCTTGGCACCTTATGTGGGTAAACACGGCAATCCTCTAAGGTGGGTACTATTATTATTCCCATTTTAAATATGAGGAAACTGAAGCCTGGTCAGGTAAACAGCTTGCTGTAGAGCTAGGATTTGAGCCAAGCAGCCTGGCTGCAGAGGACCCAAAAAACACAAGGAATCTTCAACACACAATCCCACCCCCACCCCAGGCACCAACACCCAGAATGCTCAGTGAGTCAGATTCTCTCTGCAGGGTAGAAGCAACAGCAAATGCCTGGCAAGGGGCAATATCAGGTACCCACACACACATCCTGGGCTTTAGCCACACTCAGCCTAAGCCCCTATCCCCAGCCTCCTCCAGCTGAAGCTCCACATGAAAAAGAGCAAAGTCCCAAAGAAGCATGTCCGGCATGGCAAATCAGGCCACTGACTTGTTGGGTCAGGGGCGGAAAGAGGACCTGGGATTTTTGGGAAAGATCTCCAATGACAGGTTTATTCTAATCAAGACGGTCTTGGGCTCCCCCTATAGAAGAGTTAAAAAGCCCAAACAGCTCACTGGCAGCCTTTTTCCAATTAACCAGTTTTGCTGGGTCTTTTCTAGGGAGTATTCCTAACTGGCAAATGTGAATGTTAAGTCAGTTATGATCGGTTTAAGATACAATATGGCATAAAGAGCATTCTCTCTCTCTCTCTCTCTTTTTTTTTTAAGATTTATTTACTGGAGAGAGAGAGAGAGAGATCAGGAGCAGGAGGGGCAGAGGGAGAAGGAAAGAGAGAATTCTCAGGTAGACTCCCTACTGAGCACAGAGCTTGACATGAGGCTGGATCCCAGGCCCCTGAGATCATGACCTGAGCCAAAATCAAGAGTCAGATGCTGGAGCTCCTGGGTGGCTTAGGTCATGATCCCAGGGGCCTGGGATCCAGCCACATGTCAAGCTCCCTGTTTAGAGGGGAGTCTGCTTCTCCCTCTCCCTCTGCCCCTCCCCTTACTCACACGTGATCTCTCTCTCTCTCTCTCTCTCACATAATCTTAAGAAAAAAAAGATGCTTAACCTACTGAGCCACCCAGGCGCCCCAAGAACAATCTTTAGGTGGTGAGGTCATTTGACACCACATGACCTCCTGAGTCCCAAACACACTGGAGACCAACTGGGGAAGGGAGCTGACACAAGCACTCAGGTAGCAAAGTCGCCACTTTTGAGTTTCGCTTCAGCTCGACTATGATAAGCCATCATGTGCTCTGGCCAGTTTACAGTAAAAGTGATCTTACTGCAGCCAAATTGCCGTAGAGCCGGGACCCACGCCGTGTCGCAGTTCAAGGCCTGCCACCGTGCAGGCACCCACACTGTCTCAGCAGCCCTAACCTCACCCAGGCATCAAAAACTTCCACGAGCCCGAACTCCTACACAAACAGATGGCATGTACAATGAAACACAACCCATCTACCGAGGGGCTTCTCACTGTGCCAGGAAGGAAGGTCAGAGGACAGAAAACGGTTCCTCTAGGATGGAGGGTGAGCTGTGAGTCGTGAGGGCTCCCTGCACATACCTGCGATGATCCCGTCCATTTGCTCCAGAGCGGCTTCCAGCGCGTGGCTGGCATCGGAAGCCATGACTCTTTGCCCCTCGGTCTCCTCCTTCTCCTACTGGAGATGCAAGCACAGAACAAAGGAAAAGTTAGAGAGGTCCACAGGATGCCTGCAAGACGGCAAGCCCTCCTTCATCGTCATGCCACACACCCTCACGAGAATCCTAGCATGGAACCCCCCGATTCTGCCAGCCCTGGAACCTTGCCCTCCTGGCACGAGTGCTCTGTCTCCATGAACCTTTAGCATGTGATCCCACTCACTTCTGAAATTAAGAGACTCAGTTAACTGAGTCCCAGGTTCCAGAAGTTGCAGCCAGCATGGGGCGGGGAGGGGGGGAGAGCCGAGGGGGTGGGGGGGTGGGAGTGTCCCTGTGAGTCAGGGAAAGTGACCCCAGAGGACATTCCCTGTGGCAGCGGGGATCACCACAGTCTCCCCAGGCACCAAGCTATCTCCCGGCTGCCCTAGGCCAGCACCTGCAACGCTTTTGTTGGGTAGTTGTGATCTGGGATGAGACCTCCACCACCACTTTCGATTCTCAGATTGTCAAAAGGGCCTGGCCTCAGAAGGCTGCCGGCACAGTGTCATGGGGAGAATTCTGTCCCAGGAACCTGGAGCCCTTCTTACCATTTTAGTTCTACTCTACCCAACACCATGCAGGGCACAGCATCCCATCTCCTTACGACTGAAGAGCATCTCCAAGGACACCCAGTACAGCCATTACCCCCCCCTCCCCACTGAGTCTCCCATCTAACGGGGAAGATGCCAGTTGTACCGTCTCTGGTCAACTCTGCCTCTATGAAAGGTTTTTTAGCTGAACTGCTTTCCTGCAGCCTCTCCTCATTTTCCTTGCTTCCCACCCATTCCCTGGATGGCAGGGAGAGACTGACAAGAGTATTTGCAATCTCTACCTAGTTCATGTCTATAAACTGAAGGCAGGAGTTCTTTGTTCCTTTAGCAAAAGCCGTCCATGTGCCCAATGGGCATAAGCACTATGAAGAACAGAAGCTGGGCTACTCTACCCCAGGATGGCACGGGTCAGGAAACAGGGGGTCCTGAGCGTCTCTGCTCATGTTCCCTGTGGAGATGGACTTTCAAAGAGAAGAAAGTAAAGTGAGCAGACACAGAAAAGTGGCTTTGGAGATGGTGCAGATGAAGATTTTAGGACCACAAAGAACCACAGGGGACAGTCCTAGGCAGCAGCAGTTCAAATAATCTGGGTTCAAACACTGCTCTGCCATTTACTATGTGATCTCTGAGCCTCAGTATCCTCATCTGTAAAATGGGTATAATACCAGCACTTGCATCACCAGGTTGATGTCATGACTAAATGAGGAATTACTATTTCATAGAAAATATTAATACATCCCTTACAGATAGGAAGTGCTCAATATAAGCTAGCTGTTTTCCTTTTTGTTTCTGAAGTGAGGCAATAATCTCAGGATGTATTTGTGCCAAGAGAGCTCACTGGAGGAGACTTTAAACTCAGTGGGGTAGGCTTAGGGAGGAAGAACCCAGGTAAGTCCAAGAGGCTGGTTCCCCTGGGCATGGCAAAGAGAGATAACCAACGATGTGTGTGAAGGCGGAGGGCAGTGATTCATAGGAGCAAAGGCCAAGGAAGGTTCGGGAACAGGCACTGGGCTTCAGTAGGCCAAGAACCATTGCACAATCAACTCGGGAATGAGAATGGGAGCTTGTAGAGGAGGTGGGAACCTAATGGGCACCTCAGGGCTGTGGCAAGAACCAGGCAAGGCTGCAGCAAGGAACAGAGCTGCCCCTGCTGAGAACAGCAGCCAGGACAACTGGAGACCCCAAATGCAGTGTGCAGATCTCAGAGCTTGAACAGAAGAAAGCTTGGGTTGGGGGGAGTGGGGAGAAAGGAGAGGGAACAGGAAACAGGAAGGGGGGGGTGGGAATGGGTAGCAGAAGTAGGACAATAATCAGCACATTCCCACCTGTTCAGAGATACTGAAGGTCTGAAATACTTCCCTCTAAGGACTTCCTACTACTTCGAAAGAAAAATCCAAACTGCTCACTCCCCGGGACCTATGAAACAGGCAGTGTAGGAATCCGGTCAGGCCAACCCCACGCTGCTCTCCTCACTGCTCACGTTCCAGCAGCACTGGTCTCCTGTCTGCCCCGAAACACTCCAAGACCTCCTCTGTAACTTTCCACCTGCCATCCCCTCAGCCCTGAGCATGCTTTCCCAGCTCTCTGCATGGCTGGTTTCTTCTCATCTTCCAGGTTTCAGTTCCCATGTGTCTTCTAGAGAGGCCTTCCTTGAACACCTCCATCTCGAGCAGCCCCTGTGAAGCGTAGCAATTCTAAAGTATCTCGTCCATATACTTGCTTTCTTGCCAACTGTACTTGCTCGCTCTCCCCATAGAGGCAGGGGGACTCTGTCTGCCCTGTTCACCCCTATGTGCCCCATGCCTAGCAGAGTGCACAGCATGCGGAAGCTTATGAGTGGATCCTTGGGAGTAAATGGGTAGGTACATTCCACCAACGTCCCCTGAACCCTGTGCCCTCAAGGACCAGGCAGACTAGTGAAGGCAAAAGTATAAACAAAGAATTATGACGCAGTATGAATATATGCTGACTGAGGCAGGTGTGCAGCTTCCCTGAGTCTTGAGGGATGAGTAGAAGTTTTCTCAGAAGATAAGGGGGAGAAATGCATTCCAGGCAGAGGGGGTGGAAAAGTAGAGAAGCATGTAAGGGCAGGATGGAGTTGGCAAATATCAAAATGGCTGACAAGATTCTACTGGGGCAGCCAGCTGCTCGTGATGAGTCAAAACCTTCCACAGAATTCACGTAAGTGTGACAAGGGTAGGGAATGAGAGGAGCTTGGGAATCACACCACCACGTCAGGGGTCTAGATGCCGGTACACAATACCTCAAGTGGCCTCAGATGTCAACATGACAGGTTTTTGAGAAGAAAGGTCTCCTATTTCAACAGACAGGCCCCACAGGGGGCCTTACTACCAGGGTGACAGGGAGAGGACAGCTGGAAGGTGTCTGGCCCAGAGGGCCCAGGCCATGTCCCCCTGCAACAGAAGGGCCATAAAAGGAGGCCCATGGCCTTCTGCCCAGTGATGAGTTTGTACTTGGCAAACAGCAAGTTGGGTGGACCCGTGGGAGTGGTGTGAAGTGAAACGTGAGTCAAAGGTGTATCATATATACATCCCGGGAGCCTGAGCCAGTAGGCTGGGAGCACTCAGAAGCCAGAACCTGTTTAGGGCAGCTGACAAGCTCAGTACTAGACCTGCTGGGTCTGAGGTGATGGCAGGACACGTGGGTAAGAAGGGGCCCCACCAGCCACTGTCATAGGGCAGCTGTGAGGTGTCAGTGGTGTGGGGGACAGAGAGACCTTGGAAGGGCCAAACATGCCATCAGTGTGAGGCCTCCAGCCCCCATCTGTGAGTGCAGACACTCTCATCAGAACAGGGGAGCCACAGGGCTGCTAATCATTCCCACTCTGGCAGCTAGTGACCACTGTCAAGGTTAAAGCTTCTATCTGTAACACATGATGGTACAATCATGGCCCTCAAGGACTTGGGGCCTCAGAGGCAAACATGTCAGGTGGCAGCATTCAGTGTCTTGTTACTCCCTGCGGGGACGCAGCACCTCTCTTGAGAGCCTGGGTTCATCAGGGATGTGAGGCTTAAGTTCATGAAGCTCCAGAAGGTGGACACATGGATGCTCCTGGAGAGAAGCGAGGTGAGAGGTGACAACCCAAAGCGGCTGGGAGAGAGCCACATTCTGGGAAAAACTCCAAAGGCCCAAGGGAAAAGCAGGATAAGCTCTAAGCCGGTGGTGGGGAGGTAGAAGTGAAATCACATTCTCTACCAATGACAGAAGACCCAATCAGGGGCCTGACACAGCACGGACGCCAGGGAAAGAGATAGCGTGCCCAGGGAACACTGCGGCATCCCAGGAAGGAGAGTGGCAGGCGGAGGATGACAGTGTTCTTAATGACCTCAGTACAGTGACAGTTGTTCTAGTGGCCACAACCAGCTCTCATTCTCTCTGGAACACCTGGATGATTCACAGGGCCCTGCCCTGGATGGTAGAGGAGCAGACAGACTTCTCTCACCAAGAGATCAGCTCTGGCTATAAAGAAGAGGTGGGAAAGGTTAAGAAAATGTGTAGCCTATGTACCGTTCACCCTTCCCTTCAGCCACAGGCCTCTCCAGATGCTGCCATCCTCCTATCTGTGACAGTGTCCCACTAACACAGAACCTGACCCTCTCTGCTACCAGCAGGGAGAAAATGACTCTGTAGCTGCAGCCAATACGTGACAGCCATGTTTTTGGAATGACAGTGTCCGGTGACAGATGTCACAGCCCCCCGAACTACACTACACAAAGGCCAGCTGGGCTCCTGGACCTTGATCATGGTGCAGGATTAGGGGTTCTGAAGTTTAGAAAGTGAGCCACAATTAGCCACCCATTATCTGGTGCACTCTCAGGCGGGCGGTAATTTAGATACTGCATTAACAGTAATTGTAGATTAAGATAAATCTTGGGCAAGTAACCTTGATTTATCCCACCCAAGCTGAAGTGCAAGCTTCCATTCCATTTTATAAAGTACTTTTCTCTCAGTAAAAGTGGTTAGAGCTGCAAGTGTTTCAGGCAGGCCGCCCATGGCCTGGACAAAGGAAGGAATCAGGAACAGATCCAGAGTCACTGGTATCCGTACTCCTCCAACCAAGGTCTCTATGCCATGGGCACAGCTGAGTCAGAGCTGGGACCTGACTCTTCGGTAGCTGTACCCAGGTGGAGGGGTGGGGGAGGAAGTAGAAGGCAAGGCTTAGGGAAGGAACCCTCAGCCAAGAACCTGCCACCACCAAACTTAAGACTCGTCACACACGTCCTCCTTCCCCACACGGCCACCAAGTGGTAAAGAAGCATCATCGTATCACAACCAACCAAAGCCTTTTCCCCACAATTTATAGGTTACCCAGAAACCAGAGCTGTTTTTAAATGGTTATTTTAAGAAATACCTCTTGCTATCCTTATGCTTGGGAGACAGCTTCTTAACAACGTACAG